CATCAGGACACGTGTAACTGTTATTTTAGATTTTATTAAATAAATAAATATATTTAATATAATGAGTCTCAAATGAATTAAAAGAATTAATCATTTAAATGATACATTAATTTGTATAAAAAATAATATAAAAAAATTATATAAAACTCATTTCTCACAATACAGTAACTTGGCACATCCCATCAGGACACGTGTAACTGTTATTTTAGATTTTGATGATGTGTCACCATTAAACTCCACGTGACACACCACATCTCCCTCATTCGTTGGTGGTGCCTCTTTCTTTCTATCCCACATGGGATTCACTTTAGCTTCTTAACATGCTTTTTATTATTGGATGGAAAATTTTGTTTACTTTTTTTTTTTTCGTCAACGTGATGGTTGGATAAATTGTTTTTCTTAGATGATAAAAATAGAGGTCTCCGAATCAACTTATGTGTATATAAAAATTATTAATTTATTTGATTTGTGTACATAAATATTATTAGTTTTATGAGTGATTTAAAAAAAAAAATTCTTTGCAACGATTGCAATAATACTATAAAACAATCCGAATGAGCATACTTGCACAACCATGCAAAAAATTATATGAGAGCTACAGTCATGAATCTTAAATTATTGAAGTCTTTAACAGTTTAAAATTTTAGAGTTATATAATTCATAACACATTTAATAATTATAAATTAACTTACAATAACATTAATTATTACAAAACTTACATAAACATACAACTATTGATCATATTTATATGTAGAAGACATATATATATATATATATGTGTATGTATATGTGTGAAATGTTTATGTTTAAGTTGTCATCCTCACACATAAAAAGCAAAAAGAAGAAGAAAAGTAGATATTACAAGAAGCATATATAATAGGGAGGGAATTGAGAGATGAGTAGTTTCTCACATATCCCGTACGTGGAAGACATTGGGAATCTTAACGACAATATCGTACATGTGAACTGAGTTGAACTTGGTGAAGTCTCTTGCGAGTGAGATGAGGTCATTAGAGTGCTTGTGGTATTGCAAGAGGTCAGGGACTCCTCTATACCTTTCCCACCCTAAACCTATCAAGATTTGCTCTAATTCCGAGTAGGAAGATATCACCTGATTAGTTGGCAAGTACAGAAAAACCATTGATTGCGGGTGGATGACCCACCTTGCCTCCCCTCCAAATTACTCTCTGCTTGTGGATGCTTAACAATTTGATATACACCATCAGGTTCCAGCTTCCAAACACAAGACATTTTGCTAGAAACAATATGTGTGTATGGAGAATAGTGGAAGGGTTTTTGTTTGTGGGTTTGTTTGGTAAGGATGGAAAAGGAGGTATATATATGAGGTGAAGGAACATAAAAGAACAAGAGCATAACAGTCAAGGAAAAGAATGTTGTGGGGCTTCGATAGAGAATTTAGATATTGTGGCACTGAATTGGTACACAACATGGCACCTTTTAGGTGGGACTACTAGGAATTGAGAATCTTTGGGGGACTAAGATTTAATTATTGCTTCAAAAAGTCAATCATATTTGTTGAGTCCTAATGTACCCATTCACTTTCACGAGCTGTTCACGTGAAGGGAGTGAAGAAGATTGAGAGATATTTTAATTTCATTTTTTAATTTTTAAGAAAAAAGAGTATATATTTTAAAAGATGTTAGTGGGTTTGGGGACCGGACCTAAAAAAGGGCATATGTAGTGTTTGTTTGGTGAGTGTTAACAGAAAATCTAAAACCTTAATAAAATAAAAGTTACCTTTAATACCTTTTGTGTTGGAATTTCCTTTGTTTCTTCTAGTGTTCTTAGCCGCCTTTCTTTCTTCTAGACCATTCCAATGAATTTAGGCACAAAATTACAAGCATTGCAATGTCATATATAGGATTGTGAAATTATAACAAAATATGTAATTAAGTGATTAATAGATGCACATAATATTATGAGCAGATCTTTTAATGAAAAGAGTAAGTCATATATATATATATATATATTAAATACGTAGATGAATATAATTTTACAAGTGTACCTTTTAATAATCAGAGTTAATCATGTGTAATAACACATTACAATTATAAATTTACAATATTTTGTGACATTAAAATTTTGGATCATGATTGGTGCACATCCGGGTGCGCACACTCCACATAAAAAAAAAAATGGACTAGGTGTTCTCCATTTTTTTTTTATGCGGAATGTGCACACCCAGGTGTTAAATTTGGGTGTGCACACATCATTTTCCTAAAATTTTACACAAATTGGTATGCTTTCAATTTAACATATTGCACAACATATTCACTAAAAAGTTATTTTTTTATTTGAAATTAAAAAAAGATAAACTTAAAAACTCAACCATACATACAAAATATAGAAATTGGTTAAATTGATTGTACTTATATTATATTTTAATGACTAAGCTAAATGGATATCAAAAAGTATGTCAAATCAAAAAATGTATCAACTATATTTTAAATGAATATTAATAGATGTGTGCATTATTAAAAGGTAGTAAGTAATTGAGAACTAACAAAAAGATGTTAATTTTGATGTATGAAGGTCAATTCAAAAATGAATTCAAGGACCACAAAATCCTATATGTAGTAATAAATATTTGATCATATTGTATTTAATTAGTTTTGTTTCTCTATATATTATCCAAGTTAAATTTGTTACTTTCCCACATGGTATCACATGGGCTAAATGGTCCTCCACAAACATGGAAACTTGTACAAAGTTCACAACTTCACACCCTTCCTTTGATCCGACTTGTCAAGTCTGTCATTACCATGAACTTTCCCACCTCATGTTAATGCCTGCTTCCCTTTAATTGGCATGGAAGTTGGTGCTCAAGTTTGAGCATTTGATCTAATTAGGCTCTTAACTCCAACACTAATTCAATTCTGATTATTAATTTTGATCACTTTGAAGTTAATGATAAGGGAGTACTAAACTCAACTAATTGTTTTTTGTTGATTATTAATGCTTATTGGTATAATTAAAGTTATTTTGGCACAGATCATCTATTAGGCAAGTAACATAGGTTAACACCTACAAGATATTAGGCACTTAAATATATAATTGATTTTTTGAGAGGTCTAAAAGTTTTAACAATCAAAAATTAATTTTATTCACTAATTATTAGAAGAGCAAAAGTCTTCAAGTCAAATATATATAGTAATGTATTTTTGATCGCATTCTATTTAATTAATTAGTATTTTTCTCTATAGATTATTCAAGTTAAATTTGTTACATTCCCACATGGTATCACATGGGCTAAATGGTTCTCCACAAACATAGAACCTTAGAACTTTTTACAAAGTTCGCAACTTCACACCCTTCCTTTGGTCCGACTTGTCAATTAAATCCATCATTACCATGAACTTTCCCACTTCATGTTAATGCCTACTTCCCTTTAATCGGCATAGAAGTTGGTGGTGTTTAAGTTTGGTCTAATTGGGCTCTTAGCTCCAATACTAATTCAGTTCTAATTCCCGGTTTTGATCACTTTGAGGTTAGTGACACGGGAGTACCAAACTTAGCGAATCATTTTTGGTTGATTATTAATGATTACTGGTATAATTAAAGTTATTTTGACACAAATTATCTATTAGGCAAGTAACATGGGTCAACACCTACGAGACATTAGCCCTTAGATATATAATTGATTTCTTGAGAGATCTAAAGTTCTAACAATCAAAAATTAATTTTATTCACTATCTAGTCTTTTATTTTTTATTTTTTTATATTATATTTAGATTTTTTATCAACTCCTGAATTTTATAATAACTTTTAGTTAAATGATTCTAATTAAATGATTAAAGTTGGGAGATTATGTTTAGTAATTAACAAGAGTTTTTTTTTTTTTTTAAAGTTGTATATAACCACATTAAAAAGAAAGAATATTGAGAGAATTCAAAAAACATTCGATAATAGTTTTTATCTCATAATCTATATATATTGCTTTTTTTTTTCTATTATTATCCTATTTAAGGATTTAGACAATATTCTCTATTCACTCATTTAAAGAACTATAGTATAGTTAAATAGAATCAAATACCCGTGTGTTGCATTTCTATTGCAAAGGATCATTTTAATGTTCCTTTCTTAACATTAAATAAGAAAAATTACTATACCTTTTTAAAATATGACTTAAACTAAGTAATCTAAACACATATATCCTACAATCAAATTTTGAATTAAAAAAATCTTTCCAATAAAATATTTAGATTTGGTTGTTAAGAATTGAAAAACTTTAAACTTTTGTTGTCAAGAATTGAAAAAGTCTTAAATTCACTTATTATATATATATATATATAGATATATTTATTGCCTTCAATACTTAGTATTCTTAAGTATGCCTAGTATGCTCAGTATTCTACGAATTAATGTTTTTCATTTTTGAAGCCACTCCTCCTTTGTTTAATGTACATCTAATAGAAAATAATAATGAATATATTGGTTTATAATACATCAAATATTTGAATAAAAATGCATGTAACTCTCATTTAATGGAGGGATTGCAATGATATCTTTAAATATTGTTTTAGTACATATTTATACATTAATTTTTATTATTGTTGATGTTATTATTATTATTAAAAAGTACCAATTCTAAAATATGTGTTACAAAAAATAGAAATAAAGTATACATATGTAATAAAA